TGTGGGGCTTTACTATTACTCAAAGGATACGGAAGCAACTCTCATCCGATATAGCTTTTAATTTTTATTTTTTTATTATTATTATTTATATATATTATTATTTAATTGTTTTATGTCACGTGTTTTAAATGGCAGAATCACTTTAACAACATAAGGGTAAAAAATTTGTCACGTGGAGGATAAGGTTAAATCACATGTTGGGTCGGTTATTATCCGAACATACGGGTATAAAATAGGGTACAGTTGAATCGTACGTTCTCGGAAAATAATATAAATGACTAAAATATAATGACATATTTAAGGAAATGGTAAGTTGTATGAAAAAGTAACGTACTTCAACTTGATTCCTATTTTAGATGACGTACTTTCAAAACTTTTGTTTTGGTATCTAAGATGTAAAATTTTAAACATTTAAGTACCCGATTGAAGCATTAACCGTTTACCATGTTGATGTGATGAGTGATGGGATGAAATTGGGTTGAATAACAAATAATATTGAGTTGGATATCACATCATTCGTCACATCAACATGGTAACCGGTTAATGATCAACCGGTTACCCAGGTACTTAAATGTTTAAAACTTTACATCTTAGGTATTAAAATGGAAGTTTTGAAAGTACGTTACCTAATATAGGAATCAAGTTAAAGTACGTTACTTTTTCATTCAATTTGCTCTTAAGGAAATGATAAACTTTTATAGTATTTGTATAAATGACATGCACTTTTGCTAAAGTGTTCCTTCAACGTTGGCTAAATGTTGACGAGGGGCCCACATGTCATAAAAGTGGGTACTTGTCATGCATTCCTGCAGTGTTCCATGCATTTCTCCGAAGTTGGCGAAAATGCTGAAAAAATGGATCTCATCTTTGAAAAAGCTGTAATTTTCTTGAAAATTGTTGCACGTTTTCTCCAACCATGTTTCTCTCTGTTGGCAAATTCGTTTTTTTGTATATAATGTCTGGTTTTATAGATGAAACACATTCATCGATCCACAACACTACCTCAAACAAATACGATGATGCTCAAAAGTTTAAGAACATGGTCTATCAAATTCTACTGCAAACGTTGACAATTTTTGTCGTCGACTGTGGTGGTAATGGTGGAGATCGATCTGGAGTTATGATGAATCAACCAAGTAGTTTATATCCTGTTATGGTACCCCTTTTCAGCTTTTTCAAAGGTGGGACCCATTTTTTAGTATTTTTGCCAACATTCGAGGAATGCATGGAACATTGGAGAAACGCTGGACAAGTCAACTTAGACAAAAGTACAAGTCCGATTAAATTTTTGATATAAAGATGCTCTTACTCGAGAATTAAATGTTACATATACAAAGGACGACATGTGCTTCGATGATTAGAAAAACTTCTAAATGAAGACGAACAATGTAGATCCAATATGCAGCGCTGTGTAGTACATGCAGAGCATTTGTATACCTCTGTATAAGACAAGCAAAGGAATCAGAGGCTCTGGGTAGTACATGCAGAGATAGAACTCTTACTCAAGAGTAGACAAGTACATAGCCTTTATGAAGCTCTGCATGAAGGACGAAGGCAGGGTCAGAATGACCCCGTAGCACCTGTAGAACCTCTGTCAAGCTCTGTATGAAGAACGGAATCAAGCTTCAAGGACACAAGCGTAAAGAAAGTTTCCAGAGATTAAGACGGAAACCATTCAGACGGAAACCTCTGTTAAGCTCTTTATGTTATTATTATTTAATAAGGTATTAATATTCTTTTAATAACGATATAAATTAATTAAATTTATATTATTATCAATTAATTAAGTACTAAGAGTACATGTTCTTCTAAATTTTCCCCCAGGTAATATTGCTTCGTGAAACATGCTTCAAAAATGCGAATTTGAAATTTTAAACCCGGTTTTGATGACCACTCCAGAGTTAAATTCAGACGTGAATTTTTCCAGAGTTATGTTGTAAGTCTGGGGGCCGTAAGTGAAAATTGTGTTTTAGGCGGAAAAAATCAGTAACCGTCGCACAGAAACGTGACATGTGTCCCCAAAGTTACTTATTTATTAGTATATATATATATATATATATATATATATATATATTATAAATAATTTAAATGGGTTTAGTGGACCGATGGGCCCAGTATTGAAAGCCCATTTCAGGTCAAATCCCAAGGGATTATGGGTTCTTTTTGTGTTGGATCTAATCTTATTCAAAATAAGTAAACTACTTTTTTGGTCCATGTGGTTTGTTAAAATTACGATTTTTATCCTTATGATTTAAAAATACAGTTTTCATCCTTATGACTTGTAATTTATTGTTATCTTCGTTGTTATGATTTATAATTTTTTTGTTCTTTCAGTCCCCCTGGTTTAAAATTCTTTACCATTTTGGTTATGTATATTAAAGGTAGGAATTAGTCCAAAGACGAAAATAACAATAAATTACAAATCATACAGAAAACAACGATTTCTAAACCACAGGGACAATAATTGAAATTATTAAAAAACATAGGGATAAAACCCGTAACTTTCTCCATTTAAAAGTGAAATAAGCTTAAAAGTTATGTGGTTTGTTAAAAAAAATTACTTTTGTCTTTATGGCTTTGAAATTACAAGATGACCATCGTGGTTTATAGAAACATCTGAAATTGAATCTTTCCTCTAATGGCAGATAAAACATTTCAGTAGATGAGGGGCATTTTTGTACATCCATTAAGTTATATTCAATACATTTTCTATAAATTTTTAAAAATAAATAATTAAATGTTAAAATCCTCGAAGAATATTACATTTTATTCCAACAAATTCTCTATTTTAAAGACCGAAACAATACTAGGAGACCTCAACTTTGCAGTGTATTTGAATGTATTTTTTTTTAATAGAGAGGGAGGAGACCCCTCCTAACAAGAGAAAAAACCAAAAACACTAAAAACGACAGCTTAAGCATTCGGGTGGGGGTGAACCACATCCACCAGAAAGAAACCAAGACTCACATAAGGGAAAGAAAGAAAGAAGGCAAGCCAAGCCTGAATAACATTCGGGGAAGGCTTAATGGTCAGGCCTACAAACCTGAACCAGACATAATCAGTAATGGTCTTGACCACCATATTATGAGATCTTTTTTTATTCTTGAAGATACGACCATTTCTTTCATGCCAGAGGTGGTAGACAGTACCAGCAAGCACTAATCTACGAATGATAGACCATATGGTATTTGAACGTATTTATCGGTAGGTTTTATGGAATTTTAAGATATTAGTATATATTCAACAATTAATTATACACTTCGATTTTAAGAGATTATAGCCTAATAAACGGTAAAGTTCAAATAAGAACACTAAGATAATAAATGAAGGTTAAATATAAGGTTCATATGTGAATTATTAAAAAAATTATTTGAGAATACAAACGTGAACAAAAGAAACAGTATCTGATACTGTTAACATTGGATGATGTAAATGGTAGCAGGACCAGAAACAGGACTGATGCCAACAATGACGCTTTGCTCCCAAATGGGTGGATCGTAAGATTCCATATTAGTTGGAGATATAAAAGATTGAATACCAGCTATATATAACGCTTTTAAAAAAAAAAAACGAGTCTAAGACCTTATTTCAGCCCTTTATGTCTGATTTGTTAAGAGGCAAGACCACTCAGACTATTTGTTTTTTTCTAATTTTTCAGAGACACTTATGTCTTATTTTCCTTCTTATTTGATAAGAGGTAAATCAACCTCTTATTTGCCTCTTATTGTTCTTCAGATCCTCAACAACGACGTTTCTCAATCGATTAACCTGAATCGATCATTTTTCTCAATTGATCCTTACCAAATCAATTCTCACATCTCTCAATTAATGTATTTTAATAGGATGTAAATGTGTTAAACTCTGTTAATGGCATATTTTCATTTAAATGAATGTTAATTATATATTTTAGATATAAATTTCATAATGATGATGAATAAATACATGAAATTGTATAAATTTATCTATAAATTCAACACTATAATTTATAATGGGTAAAATATAATTTAAACAAATTCAGACGTTTATCAGTTTACAAAAACAATCTTATTTATTCGGATTTCAGATTTCATCACCAACTTTTATAAATCAGAAGTGAAATAAGACTTCAGACTTCAGCACCTTTTAAATATTTTGTACAGTTAGCAATTTCCCTAAATACCATCTAACAGTATTTACATTTTCATTTGAAACGACCTCAAGGTCGTCATAGGGGGTCTTTTCTTGAGAAACCATCATATTATGATAACCTTGAGAACTAGTGCATCATATGCTATTTCATATAATATTTTCCATCTAACACTATGGTTTAAAATATTGATCAACATTTGTTGTTCACAGTGTGAACCTTTTTAATATGTTTGTGAAACAAAAGTTACACATAAAAAAGTTTCACATTGTGAATCGAATAATATGAAACATACACATTATAAAACAAATATACGTTCATCAACCGTTGAGTTCCGGCGATAAAGCAAGTTATAGTGAAAAGCGTAAGAATAAATCTCCATCATTGGATCAATTGTAGTTGAATGTCAACATTAATGAAGTACACCGACACAGGTAATTCCATTCTTATGCGCAATTTATGAGTCTAATTGAAATTAAGGGGTGTTTGGGATTGCTTATTTGAAACATCTTATGTTTTTCTACAAAACCACTTATGAACTTGTATAAGTTGGAAGAGTTTAACTTCTTCAAAAACTCCTTGTTACCGGTTTGACACCGATATAAGTTATTTATCCGAACACTCAATAGTGCTTATTACCGGTTCCACAACTAAATTAAAAAATCAAACATCCCCTACTAAATGTGATCAAGGCTTTAGATTTATTTTTACTTAGTGAGAAGATTTGCAATTTTCATGGGAAATTCGAAGAGAAAAAAAATCCAGTTTCATTTCTGAAATATATCTGCAACAATGGTTCGATGGTTTATTCGCAAATTCTTGATTCAAATCGGTAACTTGGTGCTCGAATAAGAATGAGAATTGAATACTTTCCTTTCCATCCATCGAAGAAGAATGGAATTTTGTGAGGACCAATGAATATTAAATGCTTGCTTTCTATTCAAATTCAAACTTTATGATCATCACTCCTCCTCACATCCACCAATTCTAGCGACAGAGAATCAATTGGAGAAATGGGAAGATCGTTTGATTATGTGATACTAGGTGGAGGTGTCGCCGCCGGTTATGCAGCTCTTGAATTCACTAAGAAAGGTGTCTCCCATGGTGAACTCTGTATCATCTCCGACGAACCTGTAAGTTTCCACCACCATCATGTTGATTCTTTTTAAGTAGGTTTGAATTTTATGTATGTATGCTATTTTGATTTCGGGTTCATGTTTCATAAATTGGTGGGATGTTGAGTATGCACACCAGGTGTTTGTTGTTTTGCTTTTTAGTAACGAAGAATCAAAATTCAAAATCTTTAAAAAAAATCACGACCAAATACTAACAGCTTCTCCGTTTTAGAAATTAAAACGTTATTTTTCTCATATTACTAATATATTTGAGCAAAGTTTGATTACCGACAACCCTGGCCCCACATGAAACGTGTCCCCTAGGAGCCATTTCAGAGCTGACTTAGTGGTCAAGACTAGTGGAGAGGTTCAAGCCCATCTCTCACAAGATTCAAACTTGAACACGTTGTGTATTTGAGCAAAGTTGCTCCGTTTGTAAACGTTTAATCGTGTAAACTTTTTTGAAGATTTATCTGGGGTTTCACGTATTTTAGTATGGTATTGGAGACAAGATCTACCAGTTTAGGGACTCAACACTCTGGTCTAGCATTTGTTGGAGGGGACGTGTTGGATCGATTGAGATCGACTTTTATTAAACATAATAGAGAATATAATTAAAGTTAAATGAGAAACAGCTTAGATTTTACCATTTTTCTCTACGAGTTTTCATCATTTGAAAACAATTTATATTTGTTATAAATAAACCATGTGAACGAAAATTGTAATTTACTCTATATTCTTTGCAGGTGGCTCCGTATGAGAGACCTGCACTCAGCAAAGCTTTTCTACTTCCAGAAGGTCTGCAACATCAAATTATATTATTAAAATATTCAATAATTTTTATAAAATATTATTTTTATTATACATTTAATTTGAAGGATTCTCATTGGTAGGAATAATAAAAAATAATTTTTATTTCATAGGTAATCATTTTTGGAGAATTCTCCAAATTTGGAGAATTTCACCCTCTCTCTCCTTTCTCCATTTTGTAGTCCGGGAATCTGTTGGAGCAAAAATCCCCAAAACCTTTATTTGGGAGAATCTGTTGGAGATGCTCTTATATTTTACCAAACTTAACTAATTTATCAGTCAACAACTAGTTTGCCAAATATAGCCTAACTTTATGTTACTTTTGTGGTTGTACCGTGTAGCCCCTGCACGCCTCCCCGGATTTCATACGTGTGTAGGTGCCAATGAAGAGAGGTTGACACCAAAGTGGTACGAAGAACATGGTAAATATTCCTGATTGTAAATTACTCCCTCCATCCCAAAATAAATGTCCACAATGAAAAAAGACAGTTTTAAAAATGTGTAATATTACACTTTTAATTAACGAAATGATGATTCTACCCTCAACAATAAAGTGAGTAACGAATCTCTTCATCTTATAACCATGAGTAAAATTGTAAAGTAGACACTTATTTTGGGACGAATGAAGTATGTTGGAAGGATGGCTCATTTAAAACATTCATCAGGAATTGAACTGATATTGGGAATTCGAGTTAAGTCCGCGGATGTGAGGGGTAAGACGCTATCGACAATAACGGGAGAGACCATTACCTATAAATATCTCATCATTGCAACCGGTGCTCGGGTACTGAAACCAATTCTCACATGCTATGCTCGTTTTTCAATTTGTGCTCGGGTACTGAAACCAATTCTCACATGCTATGCTCGTTTTTCAATTTGTTAGGGTGAACATGGACAACTCTAAAGTTGAAACTACCAAACAAAATGGCTTTATAGAATGCCAAATATGTCTAAATGTCCTAATAAACTAGACTGCTTTATAGGACTTAAGTTTACAGGACCATACAATTGTGCATCATATGTAAAGGTGTCATAATATGATGTAGTCTGTATTTGGGCATTCTAACAAGTTTTTCAAGACACTTTTGAAATAAAGTGTTGTATCAGCTTGTTTACAAGACACTTTTTGAGAAATGTTCTATGAATACATCTGCCCCGGGTTCGATTCCAGGCTTACACAACAATTGTGGCCACTGAGTCTATTAGGGCTGATTTCTTACCGTCACAATTTTCCGGGATTAGTCCAGGCTGGGACACTCTTCCAAAAAGAATATTAATAGGACGTTTTTGGGAAATTGACCAAAATAGTCACTCTCCCCCAACTAAATTCACTTTTTAGCCATTTTTCAATCAACTCATTTTAGCCTTTGCGTAAACTCTATCTTACGATAAAAAAAATCTTTATGCAAATTTGCGTAATTTACATAAAGAATTTGCGTAAAGATCCCATTTGCATAAATAATTTTTTGTTTTTTTTTTCAATTTGAAGATACGCCTTACGCAAGTGCGTAAGGCAATTTGCGTAAACTTTGGCTAAAACGGGAATTCGATCCCAAAAGTGGCTCAAAAATGGAATCGGCTATTTTGGTAAATTTCCCCGTTTTATTTCAAAACTGTCCAAAATTGTCCTATAACGCAATCTATTAAGACAATTAGACATATCTGACATCCTGTAAAGCCGATTTTGCTGTAGTGAACAGGCTGAAAGCTGAATCCGACACTGTACCAATTACAGTTAGTGACAAGTTATTTATTTGAATGGTTTGATTATAGGCTTTGAAACTCGAAGAGATTGGCATAAATGGATCAAATGCTGAAAACGTATGTTATTTGCGTGATTTGGATGATGCAACGAAGCTCGTGAACACGATGCGGACCTGTAATGGTGGAAACGCTATCGTTATCGGAGGTGGTTACATTGGAATGGAGTGTGCTGCTTCCTTGGTTATAAACAAGATCAATGTTTCCATGGTGTTCCCTGGCTCATATTGCAGTAAGCTTTCTTGGTTCTTTTATTTTAGGGGTTGTTTACTAAGGGCCTGCTTGGTAGTGGTTTAATGATATAGATAGTGGCTTATTCAATAAGCTTCTACGGAGGAGCTATATGCCAAAAGCTAAGTTTTTTCCAAACCTGCCCCTCCCAGTTAAAAAACACGCTCCTTCCATCTATGAGAAAACACTCCCGAACAAAAATCTTCCCGATCTATACCGACAGATTAATTCACACCGACAGCTTTATCCATATCGGACTTGAGGGTCTGTTAGGTTAGCAACTTAATGAGCATAATGGGACTCGCAACGTATTCGGTCAGCTATATATAATTGTTTGGTAGTGACTTAATGATATAGAAAGTGGCTTATTCAGTAAGCTTCTAGGGAGGAGCTTTATGCAAAAAGCCAAGTTTTTGCCAAACATGCCCCTCCCGATTAAAAAAAATCGCTCCTTCCATCTATGAAAAAACACTCATAAACAAAAATCTTCCTTATCTATACAGACAAATTAATCCACACAGACAACTTTATCCATATAGGACTTAGGGGTTGTGTGGTTAGCTTTTCATTAAGTTTTGTGTGTCTCTATAGATTGAGAGATTTTTGTTTTGGACGGTATTTTCACAGATAAACAGAGCATGTTTTTTAAGTGGGAAGGACAGGTTCGGGAAAAACTTGGGTTTCTGCATAAAGCTCCCCCTAGAAGCTTACTGAATAAGACACTTTCTATATCATCAAGCCACTACCAAAAGTCATGCATAACTAACCGAATAAGATGTGAGTCCTATTAAGCGCATTAAGCTGCTAACAAACATGCCCTAACACAGATTGGGTAAGCACTAAACTGGGTAAGAGTGCGGTCTGGGTAACTGCAGTTAGACTGTAGTGGCAGATCGTCTAGTAAGTCACCTGATCGGGGGCACACTTAGGAGTACAAAAAAAAAATCCTATGTTGAATAACCAATCCGAGCCAAATGAGATTCGGGTTAAATGGTTTCGGGTTATTCGGAAATCCTTAGTAAGAAACCATTAATGGCAGTGAAGTATGCAAAATCTGACAAACTTAACAAGCATTCCAAAAGCATCGCTAGAATTAAATATCGAAATCATCCAAAAAAACACTAAAAATTCTCTTAGAATTACGAAAAAGAAAGAAATCTGTGGGTTGCGGGGAGCAATGAGTGAGTCCTCAGAAGAAGGTTGGAAGCAACAACGCAAAATCGTTGGGATAAATACGAGAGCTAAAGCTTTTAATTTATATACTCGGTCAGCCAGAAGTTTAGGTAAACAACGTCTTAGTTTTTGGTTAAAATCGGTATTTTTTATGTTCTTTTGTAGTGGGTCGTTTATTCACCCCGAAGATCGCGAGCTACTACGAAGATGTTTACAAGTCGAAAGGGGTAAATTTCATCAAAGGCACATCCTTAACATCGTTTGTTTTCAACTCCGAAGGGAAGGTAAAGTTCTCAAACATATTTATATCTGCTAAACTTGGACACTTTATATTCAGTAATATGTTGGAACCCTCTTCTCTACTGAAGGGATCTTTTAGAGAGTAATTTAATGGGGTTCCATATATCTTCACATGGTAGCGGAGTGAAGGTCTACCATCTGAGATATCTTTGCCCCTCTAGCCTCCGTTGGAGCTAAACATATGAATTAGTCCAGAGACGAAAATAACAGTAGGTTCAAATGAGAAGCTAAACATTTTGCGAGAAGGCAAAAAATTTCAATATTAATAATGATTAGACACATGATACACAAACTTAATCATATATGATTAAACACATGTTGCATTGATAACACATAAACGCTTAATCATATATGATTAAACACATCCAAATGAGTGTAACCATATATGCTATTGAAACTTCTCACTTTCTCGCAAAATGTTTAACTTCTCATATGATCCTTCCCCTCTCTCTTTCTCTCTCTCTCTCTCTCTCTCTCTCTCTATATATATATATATATATATATATATATATATAGGGTCAGCCTTAGGGGAAAACCGCAAAAAAATAAAAAACTGAGGATACCCTGGTAACCGTTTATTTCGACAGTATTCACATGTGCATACAAATGATTTTTTAAGCAATTTGTCCGGTATGTATATGTGCATAACACGCATGCGTGCATAAAAACCAAGAAACAACTCCAATTACTTGTATGCAAATGTGAATGGTTACTAGGGTGTTTCTTAGTTTTTCATTTTTTTGAGTTTTACTCTGAACCCCTCTCTCTCTCTCTCTCTATATATATATATATGTTTGTGTGTGTGTGTTCTTACATGGTATTAGAGCAAGATCAACCATACGAGACATCCTTGTCCGTCTAGCTAGCCTTCCTTGGAGGGGGCATTTTAGAGTTTTACAATGGCTAGATTTTGATATTTCTCTTCAATATACGTTGGAACCCTCATTATCTCTTCAAGGGCTCTTTCAGAGAGTAATTTAGTAGGTTCTACCATGGTATCAGAGCAGATCATCTAGGACATCTTTGTCCGTCTAGCCTCCAACAGGAGGCATGTTAGAGTCCCACATCGGCTAGAAGAGTACGTAATCTAATGGGGTTTCATATATTCTCAGAGACTTGTATAAATATACAGGTTAGCGGAGCTAATCTCAAGGACGGACGCTACCTTCCAGTGGACATGGTTGTTGTAGGAATCGGAGCCCGTCCCAATACAAACCTCTTCGAAAACCAACTCACTTTCGAGAATGGTGGAATCAAGGTAAACAGTCGATTGCAATCAAGTAACACCTCGGTTTATGCAGTTGGAGACGTTGCATCATTTCCCATTAAGCTATTTGGTGACACCCATAGACTCGAGCACGTTGATGCCGCCCGTAAATCCGCTAGGCATGCCGTCTCAGCAATAATGGAACCAAATAACACAACGGAATTCGACTACTTGCCGTTCTTCTATTCTCGGGTGTTCTCGTTATCTTGGCAGTTTTACGGAGATAATGCTGGGGAAGTCGTTCATTTTGGTGATTTTTCCGGAACTAGATTTGGAGCATATTGGGTGAATAACGGGCGGTTAGTCGGGTGTTTTCTTGAAGGCGGAGATAAGGAAGATTACGATGCTATAGCTAATGTGATCAGGGTTAAACCAGCTGTGGCGGATTTGGGTGAGCTTGAAAGGCGGGGTGTGGAGTTCGCGGTGGGAGTTAGCCAGAAACTGCCTGTGGCTACGGTGGTTCATGGTGGTGGTTTGTATGCAAGTTTTGGCATTGTGGTGGCTGCATCAGTAGCTCTATTTGCATATTGGTATGTAAGAAAGTGGTCATAGATGGTATATATATATATATATATATATATATATATATATATATATATATATATATATAGAGAGAGAGAGAGAGAGAGAGAGAGAGAGAGAGGGGGGGGGAGGAGATTCAAGGGAAAACCCAAAAAACAAAAATTGAGGAACACCCTGGTAACCGTTTATCTGGACGGTATGTATATGTACACATATGTAATTGTGTCTTGGTTTTTATAGACATGTGCATACCAAACATATTGCTGATAAAACATGCATACAGGGTTACTAGAGTGTTTCTCGGTATTTTATTTTTTTATTTAGTTTTCTCTGAATCTTCTCCCTCTATATATATAATTGTCTAATAAGATGAATTTTGTTATAAATAAAGGAGTGGGGAATAATATATCATCCGGGCATTTGGTCTAGTGGTATGATTCTCGCTTTGGGTGCGAGAGGTCCCGAGTTCGATTCTCGGAATGCCCCATAATTTTTCATATTGTTTATTGTAAACCACAAATTTGGTCCCTGTGGTTTCTCAAAGAAAACGCTTTTCGTCCCTGCAGTTTCGACGTTACAAAGTAGCCACAACAGTTTGGGACCAAATTTATAGTTTACTCCATTGTTTATGTTTTGTTTTTAAGGGGGTGTTTGTGATTGCTTATAAAAACAACTTATTGACTTATTCTTGTGTAGCATCGGTAATAAGCACTTTTAAGTGTTTGGATAAACAGTTTATACCGGTGTCAAATCGGTAATAAGAAATTTTTGAAGAAGTTAATTCATTCTAACTTATAATAGGTTGATAAAAACTTTTGTAGAAAAGCGTAAGTTGTTTTAAATAAGCAAATCCCAAACACCCTCTAAGTAGTTTTCTTTGTGGATTTTTAGTAAATATTGTCGCAAAATATTTTTTTTTAATTTATCTTAAAATAAGTGTTTTTTTTTACGTAAACATAGTTTTTTATGCGGATTTTTAGCAAATATTGTCGCAAAAACGACATCCACATTTGTATTTTTATGTTTGTTTCGAAATAATATTTATTTCTCTATTTATTAAGGACAAAACTGTCTTTTAATTAATTAAAGCATGTTACAGTTACATATTTTTTAAAACCATATGTTATTTTCATTATGAGTATTTATTAGGAGGATGAAGTAATAAAAAGGCAAATTGAATGAACATGAGTTTTAATTTGTTATGGTTTCTTTTTGGACTTGTTTATGGTGTGATATCTTAAATATTAAGTAACCTTATTATCTAATGGTTTACGTTGACAGGACATCAATATTTCTATTTTCTATAAATTAAAAACGTACTTTATTTCAGTATCTGATTTAGATAGCGTACTTTCCAAACCTTCGTTTTGAAGTATGTCATTATGTTATTAAGTACACTTTTTACTAAATGCAACAAAGGATCCAATTTTGTGAGATGATATTGGTACTCGAAATGTCGGCAGATTCGAGTGATGACTCTTATTCCACCGATTAGAGGTGGGTTATTATGCAAACTTTTACATTTATACAACCAATACAACTCAATCTCAACCGTCCATTTAATTTGACGAATATGTGATTTCATAGAAGCTTTGATTGTTTTTTAATATAAACATTGATCATAATTAATGAACTCTAGTCATCTTCCATAAATATTCAAATCATAACAAATGAACTAATATCATTTTCATAAATATATCAATTGATTAGGTTGCATTTGGTTGTACAAATGTGATAAGTTACATTTGAAACATCCTCTAGAGAATTATATATACATATATTTTTCCATTTTGTTATTTAATAATATTATGATATTAAAATTATTACATTTTCATATTAGAAGAAGGAAAATTATATATATTAACTACTATTATATAAAGAGTTCGTTATCAAAATATTCAAAATAGAACTTGGAAGGGTTTTACAACTTCGTTTTAACTGTTAGTCATTAACATGAGTGAATCCATGAAAAACTATGAGTCATGTGATTAGGTTAGTCTATAAATATATGAAATCTAGTTTTTTTTTAAATATATAAGATTTATGTATGACAACGAGAACAAATAAACTCACATACTCTTCACATCTTTCGTGAGGTTTGAACTCTTGACCTCCTAGAAAACCAATGACTCACATACCGTTAAGCCAAAGGCCCTTTTATAACCTAAAGTTAAAAGTGTAAAATTACAAAAGTTTAAAGAAAAGAAAATCATATTTTTTAAAATAAAAAAAATTGAAAAAAGTCACGTCTTGAAAAAGACGTGACACGCTTCAAGCCGCCATGGCGTAAGGCACATTTTACAGAAACCCTACAGACCTTATTGTAACGGCGAACATCATGACAAGCCTCAAGGCATCATGGTGTGAGCCACGTTTTACACAAACGTTACAAACCTTATTGTAATGACGAAGACACGTTCTACACCATCATGCGCTTTTTTAAATACTGATAAAATGATGAAATGTTTTCACGTGATTGATCGACAGGTGGAATTTGATACCTTTTATTTTTTATTCCTCTTTTAACCCAACCCCCTTTTTTTCTTTTATTTCAATTGCATTTGATTTGTATGGTGTTTTTTTAGGGAAACCTCTATTTGGTGTTTATAAATGAGTGGTAAAATAACTATCATACATCTATATTGCATCTATGCACTTGGGACATTAACCTATCAAGTTTTCTATTTGACAACTCGAATCGAAATCCCACAACGGTTGAAACCGTGTCCGTGTTTATATGAACGCCCGTTTCCGCTTCTAGTCTTTCAACCTCCTCCGGCCTACGAACAACTTTGTCAAAACATACATATCTCCCGCCACTACTTTTCTTCATCTCCTCGTGTACTTGAACGTGTGCCTCTGCTAATTTATCGACCTCAACGCTCGCTAATAAACCGTATTCATACATATCTTGACCTCCTGCATACGTATTCGTGTAACTGTAAGCTATATGGTTTCTCAAATATCTCAGCGTCTCCAATACATTCTCTAAAATTTCTTCGAAATGAAGAATCAAAAATCAAGATCTCCAAAAAAAGTTACATTCAACTCCAATAATCTTATCAAAGGGCTTTTGGCTTAGCGGTATGTGAGTCATTGGTCTTTTAGGAGGTCAAGGGTTCAAACCTCACCAAAAGGTGAGGAGGGTGTGTGAGTTTATTTGTTCTATTTACCGTATATAAATATTATATACTCCAATAACGGCCAAAGTTCCAAAAGATGATACTAAACAGCAGTTCACCTTTGATGATATTCCCCCATCAAGATGGAGGGATGGAAGCATTGAAATGCAAACATGGTGTAGTGTAGAACTCCAATATCTATTTTGGACATTACATTATTAGTTATAGAGTAAATTACGTTTTTCGACTATCTAGTTTGTAAAAAATTGTGATGTTGTGGCTCTATTGTTTAGAAATTATGGTTTTCGTCACTATAGTTTGTAATTCATTTATATTTCCGTCCTTATGATTTACAACTCATTGTTGTTTCTATTTCTATTTTACAACTCATTGTTGTTTCTATTTCTATGGTTTCTAATTCTTTACTATTTTTGTCCCTTGTACTTTAAAGTAGGAACTACTTTAAAGTAACAATAAATTACAAACCATAGGGACGAAAATCACAATTTCAAAATTACGCTCCTACCGGATATCCACCCCGCTATGCGAGTTGACTAATTCCAGGGCAACCACCTGATTCGCGGATATCCCGGAGTCACCGCATTTGAACCTCCGTGGCCATAAGGGGATTTTTATTTCACCTTGGATTCGAACCTGAGACCTACAGGAACTTCTGACCTTTGGAGCCCAAGCTCAAACCAATCGGGGTTTTAGAGATTTTGAATTTTCCATCTCCATTTTGAAGAAATAATGAACATACTATTGGAGATATGTGCTAATAGAGAGGGTAAAACCGACCTTTGAGGTATGCGATGGTGGATGAGGGATTTGTACAGAAATATCGAGGACCGGTAATAAGACCCGAGCATATGGTGGCCAACTTCAACCCCTTCTCCTCCGCTATTCGCCATGACGCTCGCTCCGCTTTCAACTTACCCAAGGCATACCATAGCTGTGATGTTTCATACAACAATTATTTTGATGAACAAGATTGTAAGACATTGAGTTGATTTTGCATATTTTAATATGCATTTTGGATACTTGTCGGGTGCGGCATTATAATAGCCCTCAAATAGAAAAGTAGGTTTCAACATATATAGAGAGATGAAATGGTCCAAGTGTGGGACCCTGACTCGAGTCCCTAGAGACTTAGAGTGATAAACTTTGGCTCTGATACCATGTTAGATTTTGTGAAACCCCGTTACCCCCTATATTGATATGAATTCATATAAAGGAAAGAAGACTAGGAAACAACGATTGATATAAAGATGAACGGGTTGTGTAATTACCTTTTTGCCATTGCAAAAGGACTCGTCGCTCCAGCTATTATGATCTACGACCGGAGGGAGGGTGTTGTTAGAAGTGTCTCTCCAAATGCAGGTCAATAGAGAAGACGTAAACACATAGTTCCTAACGGAGGCCGTTGCTGCACAAGCTTCTGCTATATTTTCTGCTGCCTTTGCTTCTATTTCCGCCATGCATTTCTATCAATTTTCAAAATCAATTTACCACATTTCATGTACTTTTTTCATGGACCCAATTGTGCAAAGTTTATCTTTGCCGTWTTTTTTTTTTTTTTTTTGGRGGGTGTCCTGGGCTACATGCCCATACTAATCCTGATAAATTACAATTGTAAGACGACAGTTTTAATAAACTCAGTAGCCACAATTGTTATGGACGTCTAAACCAGTACAAATAAAATATTTCACTAGATCGCACTGGATTCATTTATTAGATCGTAATAAGTGAATGTAATCATATTATTTTAAGAAAATGTAGACTCTAATACCATATCAAAACAAGTTTATCTTCCCACTTCAATTTATAGTTAGCTTTCTACCCAATTGACAGAAATGGTCAAGATTTGCAAGTAGCATTAGTAACGTGCAAAATCTATTTTTATTGAATTTAATAGTCATAAAGTAACAACTTAACAAATCGCTAAAAATGCTACTTTTTATGTGGAACCCCGAGCCACCTTGTACGCAACTCTATTAATCCCGAGGGCCCTAGAGAACAACCAGAAAATGCAGGATTCGAACAGCTCATGTCTTAGAAGAATCGTATAGGTTCAAGACCTATTGTCAGTTGAGCTAACCCCACAACATAAAATATTAATTGTGAAATGCTCGACATGACAAATAGCAACTTTATCGAATTATATTCCATATCAGCATTTTGCAAGTATCATTTACAAAACTACAAAATCTTTGATAGTTGTCAAATCTGGGTTATATCCGTCAATTATGTAAAAAAAAGACTATACATTGAATCGGGGGACAAAAAAGCAACTACAAAATGAATGGGTGACAGAAAAAAAAAAGTATTTTGGACAATTCTAAAAATATATGTGGGTTGATAAAGTCCCTGGACCTTGGACAATGACTGGGTTATTATTGATTACTATTAGGGTGGAAAAATAAGAAATGCTTCTAGAAGGAAACAAAAAGTAGAATAACAAATCAAAAGCCAAATTATTACCAACTGAAAATTGAATATTAAAAGCTAATAAATGAACCCATTCATATCTTGCAAGTTGCACCACATGATGTCCTCATGTTTACCGGTAATAAAATAATCATTTTTGTCCATTTAATACCTACTACAATAGACTCTTCAATGAGAGGTTATTACAAGGAAAAAAAAATAGTAATGCATACAAATTATTATTGAAGAGAGTTTTTATCTGTATTTTTGAAGTTTTTATACAGTAATTTTAGTTCTTACTTTAAATTTGGTGTGAAATAATATATTATTGCATTTCCATATTATTTGGGAAATCCAATAGTCCATCTGTCCCATACATGGAACCTGTCTTAATGTGAAGGGATATTTTTTGTCTCATTCAGCAGTTGAGGCTAGCGGTCTGTAGTTGAACCTAAGACATGTCTTATATTTTGGCAAAGTCATTGTCGACTCAGCTACATACATGGAACCTGTCTACAACGACACTAATGTGAAGGGATACTTTTTGCCTCATTCAGCAACTGAGGCTAGCGGTCTATGATTGAACCCAAGACCTGTCTTATATTTGGGCAAAGTCATTGTCGACTGAGCTATAGGCGAGAGGCTTGTATGGCTATATTATCGATGTTGAAACAATGCGCTAAGTTGGCAATTATATGACTAAAAAGTGCAAAAATCCAACATATCACTAAAAACACAAAAATTGAGCTCTTTTCATATCCAACCTAACACTAAAAAGATAGAAGGTTTAAAACGTTGGTCTCAATATTTGAAGTCAATAAAATAAGTTTCTATAAATTATATATATATATATATATATATATATTATTAAAAGTTTAATATATTAAGATATTTATTATTATTATTATTATAGCATTAAACACGGTTTTTAATGTGTAAATGATGATGTTTTTTTAGTGTTAAATGGATTGATGAGATATTAGTTCAGAAACTACTCTTTTTACTTGTACGGAACTGTTATCCGAGATGGTCTAGAACAGAGAGAGACTTACCGAGTAGCCGGAGAATCCGCTTGGATCAATGAAAGCGGTGGTGTGAAAAACTGTACAACATCCATCGAACGCTTCCATTAAGCTCCGCTGTTCGTTGAACTTTGCCACAACAACTCCGATCAGATTGTGGCTTGCAAATCTCGATGTTCCTTCCATCTCCCCTGAAGTTTCACTCTCCCTTAATCGCTCGATATCTTCTGTAATTCCGAAATTTTTCCAGTTAATTCACCGAACTGCTAATGGCGGATCGAATTAATCGCTTAGTACAAGTTCATAACCTCATTCAATAACAATATTCAAAGTCAACGTAATCGGTTCAAAAATTTATACAAAATAGTGACGATTTGATGATTTGATAGATTTCTATCACAAAACCTGCTAAAAACAATAACCGAAGAACGTTTCGAGATTTACCTTCGTTATCAACGATGATTCGAACGGCATAGCCTCTGAGCAACAGCTGTTTCACGATGGCGATTCCAAGGAAAGAGACGCCGCTCGTGACGCATACAAGTTTCTGATCTACTGCATATTCATTTCCGTTACCGGCAGACACTCGCCGGCGATTGAACTCTTCGCTTCTAACCTTGAGAACGACGCCGGAGCAGGATAACAGCATCCGCCGGAACTCCTCGATTTCAGCTCTCCGGCTCTCGTCCGTCCGTACGACACCCATTGAAGCTGCTAGAAGAAGTTTGTGAGGGCTGAAATTTGTATTAGAAGGTGGTTTCCAGGAAGCTGAATGATCGCCTTCATGTGGAAAGCACTTCGCCTTTATATAAACAAAATCCGTTCAGCCTAATTTGGTCGAAAAAATAAGCCGTGCGGCTCGGCTTGTAAAGCCCGCTCTGTACAGAGCTGAAATCTCCTTAGCGTCTAAGCGGCTCGGCTTGAAATTTCTAAGTAAATTACATTTCTGTCCTTATGGTTTGTTACATATTGTGATTTTCGACTCTGTGATTTAGAAACTGAAATGAGTTTGATGAGACTCACAGCTTTACAGTCAGCTATATATGGTTATTTAATAGTATTCGGATAACTAGTTGAAACATTAACTCTTTCTTCAAACAAACCACAATGCATAGAAACTAATTTTAGATTAAGATATTCATGTCAACAAATAATATTGAGTCAGATACCACATCGTTCGTCACATCAACATAGTAACTAGTCAATGTTTCAACCTAATCTTTCCAACGGGCTTCCTATATCTACTAAAGGGAAGGGGAAGGAGTAGGGCATTTTCTTGATTACCTGCGTACTTAAATGTTTAAAACATTACATCTTATATACCAAAATAAAAGTTTTGAAAGTACGTTACCCAAAATAGGAATCAAGTTAAAATACGTTACATTTTCATACAATTTACCATTAAATAAATGTTTAAGATTTGATGAATCTCTAACTAATGTTTATATTTTCTTGATATAAACAACGACATAAAACAGTAATTTTAAGGTTAAAAATAACCATAATTTAGGAGCAGGGAAAGTGTAACTTAATTGACAAAGGGGTTGGTTGACTTTGCTCAAATACATGACATGTCATGGGGTTTAATCTCAAACCTCTCTGCTAGCCTCAGTCGTTGAATGAACAAAAAACCGCTCACTCACATTGGTATCCTAAAAAACGCTTTCGTTTAAGACCAACTGGAGCTGTCGTAGATTACTTTTTTTTCCCAAATAGCCATAACTTCGAAAGAAACCTTTGATGTTAATTGATGTTTCAAAAATCTATTTATTTCCATTTTTTCTTGGTGACACAAAATGCCCTCATACTTATGTAGGGATGGTAAAAAAAAACCTCGAAACCGATGGTGAAAACCGGAAATCAAAATTTTTGGGCCGGGTCCGGGGACATCTTATCGGGGACGGGGTGGGGATCGGGGACATATTCGGGGACGGTGACGGTTACGGTGATCACCGGCCCGGCCCGACCCAATATGTGTATATATATTAATTTTAATTTTAATTTACATACATACATACATACATACATACATACATACATACATACATACATACATACATACATACATACATACATACATACATATATCACAAAAAGAAAATACTATCATTAAAATTTAAAAGACTTTTATTCAATTTACCTCAACATTCCAAATAAGGCTCACAAAAAAATCTAGTTTATTTTGTCTAATTGTGAAATTATGATTTTAGTTGTTTGATGTTTAAATTTTCGTTTACTTTTTTATAGTAATATAAGACGTTGTTTATAATTGGTTTGATTATGTTTGAGACATTTAAACTTTACATCTTTAAAAAGATTTGTAATAAGTTGTGAAAATTAACGTATTATAATTTTTCAAATCGGTTCAGGTCTCGGGAACGGGTATAACCAATTGAGAAAAAAAGGATTTGTACTCTTAACGGGTTTCCGAACGGGGATCGCAGAAAACACAAGGACCCGACGGGGATCGGGGCGGTTACGGGGACGGTATTCATTATCGGTTTCCGGGACGGGGATAACAATACCTGACCCGAACCTGGCTCGTTGCCATTCCTATACTTATGTTTTTGTCAGCATCCGTCTAAAACAACTCCAGTTTTTCAATTAAAAGTTGTTGATAGAAACTAATTACAGAACAGAGTTTATGTCATCTTGTTGTCACCTTTATTTATTGTCATTATTTGTTACTATAATTCCCGTCCTAACCTAACTATTGTATGTTTTCGTTTCAACCTTTTTTTGAGTTGAAATGAAAATTTTGTGTAGATTTATGGAGCATCTGATATCTACGGAAATTGACTTTTGACCTCAAAATTAAAAAAAAAACGACTTTCGTAATTCAATAATTCATTCGGTATATAAAAGTATATCAATGCTAATATCAAGTCAACTATTTAAAAGTTTTCATTTTGTATGTAATTTCTTTAATTTATTTTTTTATTATAATTTAATTTAAGTTTAATAATGAAATAATTTATTTTTTGTTTAATAATATAATATTTTATAAAAATAATAATTCAGTATTCTGTTAGAACTCAATAATTATCTTAATTATATTTTAGATTTTTTATATTTAAAATGAGATGTTTATCTTGTATTTGATTATGTTTATCTGCAGTTAGTTACACGAATTCAGATATGGAGCTTTAATAAGTTGTACTTACGCACAATTTACTTGTAATCTTGAGTTTTGAGTAACATGCATTAATAAACAGTATTTTATGCATAAAAAGTGGGTTTTAAGAGTTTTTGTCAAATGCTTTATAATATAGTATAGATTAGAATATTATTCTAACCTTAATATGTTATTTCTCTATTCATAATTTCTTTTTCATCATCAACCATTTGATACAACTTATCCATACTTTTTACGTGTATCATATTCAGTTAATTTTCTCAATTTACATATATATGTTCATAGTTACTGAACATATATACGAGTGAATTATATAGAGATGTGAATAGATTGAAAATATGTGTATATAAAGAGGGTACATGATAGTGTAATTGTCTAATGTTTATATTAATAGAAATTCAATAATCATATTAAATCCCAAAAACAAAAGGATATATGGTTGGTTGGGTTCAAATAATAGTAACTCAATACATATGGTTTGAAAATTTTAGAACTCAATTAGACATCGGGTTGCTTCGGGTTGAGTTATTTCGCGTTGGGTTGATCGGAGTTTTGAGCACCCCTAATAATGATTGTCTCGATTTTTTCCAGCGTGTTCTGCAAACTTCTGTGGCCAAAGTACGATTATAGGTTTGATTTTCTTAGGAGTCGTTTACCAAATCCTTACTCGGGTAAACGCTTACCAAGTCACATTCCCTTACCAGATGAATATGGCAAAGACCAAGAATCTTACCTGGTAAAAGTGAAGGCAAGGACCGAGAATCTTACCAGGAAAGTGATGACGACGACTTTTACCACGGTTAGCGATTACCGGGTAAATTGTTACATACGATGTTGTTTTGATATACTAAAATCTTACCCGATAAGTAAACGGTAGAGTTGAATTTCAGTAACATGTTGAAAGAAAAACAATCCATATTGAAAAAAAAAATATATATATATATACACTATCTTATAATGCATTTGGCTAAAACTCTTAAACGCGTTCATCCCTAAACGATTTCATCTCTATCCAATTTCATCTCATATCTGAATTCGTGTAACTAACTGCAGATAAACACAATCAAATACAGAATAAACATCTCATTTTAAATATAAAAAATCTAAAATATAATTA